TCGCCATCAATTGGTCACCACTTGAGACACCACCGACGAGCTGACAACGACAGGTCGACGGCGGCAAGCAGACTATTATAGTTCTATCGAGGTGATGAGATTGCATCATCACATCTCTTGCACATCCCCTAGTTTCTTAATTGTGTATTCCAGAAATTCTGATTGATTTAGCCTATCCAAAGGAGTTTCTGTAAGGGAAGTCGTCGAGTCGATCACCAGATCCAAAAAATGATGCGGGTACATCAAGGCCATTAAGCCAGCCGTTAGGTGTACGCAAAGTGCATCGAATATCATTGTTGCAAGTGGGTTTTAAAGCCAGATGGATTAATTCAGATGTGTTGCCTTACGATTCGACTAATCAGAAGAGAATTTTAGAGGATGGTGATACTAGGCAAAGATATTTAATAAGGCCACCATCTAATTTTGATTATCCACAAAGGGCCATTGGTGATGTTTCCTAAAAAGTAATCCAGAACGGTTTGATCAATAAGCATGTTACTTTTTCTTTTATCTGTCATCGTCTAAAGGTATTGTGAGATGACACAACATCAATGAAGAAATGCATTTCGGTTATGAATGTTGTGAAGAAAAAGTTGCGTAACAAAATGGGTAATCGGTTCATGAGTGATTCTTTAATTTGCCATGTGTTGAAACTATGTTTTCTATCATTAGTATTAAATGTTTTGATTGATCTTTTTGAGATGATGAAAATCTAACGGGGTACTCAAAATGTGAGTGACTTAACATACTTCTTTTGCTTGCTGGTCTTTATTTTTGAACTTTTTAAACTAATTTGTCATTTGCTTCAATGTTTTCAAGGACATGAGAAAATAAACCTAACACTTGAAGTTATTTTGGCACCACTCTATTTATAACATGTAAAAAAGAGGTTTTATGATTTCAGTCAATAAGTATGTACAACACTCTTCAGTTTTTACCGTCATACAATATGTGATAAATGATATCATAATTCTATTCGTTATGTTTTCTTTGGATGTTATACTTTTGTTATAATATTGTCTAAAATCAGACCTTGCACGTAAATTATTTATATCATATTCTCACAATAATTCAGTGAGTGAACCCAATGGTCAAATTTTCTAGCTCCGCCCCTGCGTTTTGGTGATTGCCGGTGCAGCCGCTAACCAACATAGACAAATTTACACGTGACAACCCTTTACGATGCACATAGGGGATGGATCAGTTCACCATGATAATTGGATCCCGCGAGCTGGAAGTATGAAGCCGCTCGGCCAGAATTTTGTCTGGGGTATAACGGAAGTTAGAGACCTCCTCCTCCCCAACGGAACGGACTGGGATGAGCATCGGGTGGATGCAATGTTTGCGCATGATGATGCTCAGGATATAAAGAGGGTTGATGTGGGAGGGCCAAATTGTCAGGACTACTTAGTGTGGAATTTTACTAAAAACGGCGTGTTTACAGTAACGTCAGCGTATCATCTGAAAATGTCCATGAATAAGTTGAGGTCCGGATGGCCGGAACCCTCGACATCTACGAGTAAACACAAGGGCTTCATGGCGCTTTGGGATACCTCGGCTCCGGAGAAAGCCAAAGTTCATGTCTGGAGACTGCTAAGGAATGGACTGGTCGTGGGCTTGGAACTACATCGACGAAGAATTAAATCAAGGGTGTTTTGTGTGGCGTGCGGGAGGGAGGAGACAATACGACATCAATTCTGGACGTGCCCACACTCATCACTCTTTTGGCAGTTGTTGCGCTCGGAAACGGGAGCTATGGTGGCAAACCCATCAGAGATGACTAGGTCCAAGAGTGAGCTGTCGAACTGGCTGTTAGGATGGTTCGAAGGTGCTGCAGAAGAGGAGAAGGAGCTGTTTATCCAAGTTGTGTATGGGCTATGGCTGGCAAGGAACGAAGCTAGAGATGGCAAAAGGATTGCAGAACCACATGCAATAATGACGACCGTGCTGATGCATGTGAAGGAATGGAATGAAGTGCACGCTGCAGCACCTAGACCCCCCAAAGTGATAATGCATCAACGATGGGAACCTCCTGAGGCGGACCCCCCCACCCACATCAGTACCGTCGCTATGCATGTAGATTCGGGTCAATAGTGTTTAATGCGATGTATTTAGTTTTGTATCGTTGGAGTACTGGTTCTAAAACATCTGGTATATGCATGCCCCCTTGCACGAGCTGAACCCACCGCATTAACTGCCCGTTCCGTGTTAATTTTTGCAGCCGCCTTGCACTGTTTCTCTGCTCCCCTCGCTGTAGTCATTCCCATCGTTATCTCCTCCCCACGCCCACGCCCACACCACCACACCACAATCCCTCTGCTTTCCTCCGTCCCAGCGAGCAACGACCGTGCTCCGGCCCGCGCCGCCGTGCCCCTTCTCGACCCACGGGGCTAACCGCAGCTCCCCCTGCCTCCTGTAGACCTGGCACTGCCTCCAATGCCACCCATGCGTCGCCGGTCCTCGGGACGAAGCTCTGCTGCCACATCGCCCCCATCCACCGATGGATCCGACCTCCCACGCCACCTCCCACACGGTCGTCGATGAGTCCAAGTAATGTGGAAGCATGACGGCGACGAGCTGTCACTACAGATCTGGCACGGGCTGAGACTTCGGGGATGAAGGCCGGCGACCAGGCAAGGACCAATCCGGCGAGCTCTTCACCAAGTCATTTTGTTTCCTCGTTTTTTCTCTCTGAAATATTTCTTTCCTTGTTTTTTCTCTCTGAAAACTGTATCTCTTTCCTCGATTTTTCTATGGAGGTTTCCTGGAATTCTTTTTAGGAGATAAGATTGTTGCGGCGAACTCTTCTCGAAGTCATTTTATTTCCTCTTTTTTCTCTCTAAAAAGTTTCCTGGACTTTTTTTTTTGTAGAAGATTAGATTTGTGGTGTTCAAATCTGTTTTTTTTACGGTGACAAATCTGAGAAACTAGTAGTTTTCTCATGACTGTGATTTGCAATTTTCACCTTCAAAATTTGGGCATTTTAGATTTTGAGGTGAATTGTCCTCTTCTTATTTGAAATTTTGGTTATTAATCAGTGCATTTTTATCAGTGAAATTCCACAAAGTGCTTTTTCGAGTAGTTATATTGCTCGATCAATGAGTTGTTGATGGATATGTAATTATAGTTACTTTTTGTTGCATCACAGAATAATCTCATCAAGTATTATCACTGTCAAAGTTGTAAATTTGTTGATGGATCTACCGTCTTCGAATGTATTTGCTGACAAACTATGTTATCTGAAATCAGTGTGTCAAGGTTCACTGTCAAGTTAATTATTGTGAATCATGTATGGGCAGTATTTTTTTGTGCATGGATGGGTCTGATGAAGGGAGTTGTTTCCAGCTAATGAAGATATGGCAGTGAATTTTCTTGCCAGCTCCGACTTGGCTGTTCTTGCATGTAGTTGTCAGTGCCAATTTGCAGTGTTAATTCCGTACAGTGGCTAATTAACTACCGAGGAAGCATGATCACTGATATAAGCTTCTTTTTCGTTCACTTGTTCACTGAACCTATGTTGTCTGTAGTTGGTAATGTATTGTCAGTTTTAGGGTCGAGGCATAGCTAATTAACGATCCACGAAGCTTTATACACTAACCTTCTCGGTAAGCTTGCCCCCTGCAATTTGCAAATGTGTTGTTCACGCGGTGTACTGTCAGGTCTATATTACTGGCTCATGTAATCCTTGGTTTACAGAAGTGTGTTGTAGATGAAATACATTGTCAGTGCTAAACACTATTGTTTCCAAATTTTAATCTTTATGCCGGCACCAATCTCTCCACAATTTCACACGGAAGTAGTACATTGCAATATTCAATGCCATGGCATTGATTGATTGTAACCAGGTCATCTAAGGCTGGTCACAATGGGGAGGAACTTAAGAATAACATCAAACACTCCAATACAACTTTGCTTATGTGTCACATATTTAATGAAGAGAGAGGTGCTTGTGGTACTAATTAGCTAAGTTATGGAAACATCACACACTTCAAGAAATAATGAGTCTATAACCTAATAAATACATTGTTGCATGACATTATATAGATCTTCCTGCCCACTGTAGAGGTAGTAATATAGTTTAGGAAAGTGTGTGTAAGTTACTAGACTATATTCTTGCCCATTGTGACCACCCTAAAAACACTTCCAGCAGTCTCGGCTTCACTGCACAGGTCAATAAATCCATAGGCCCGCTTTCAGGTATAACTTTGCTGTATATCCAATGTATCTATCTCGCGAAAAATGATTCAGTCATTTAATGGCTCGATCTGGGGAGAGTAACGGCCGGGTAAGATTTCAGTGGGTGGAGCACTTATGTGCTACAAATCCGTGTCCTTATGGTTCCTCCAGACTCTATTCTGAATGTAATTGCGGATGAAACTCTGGACTTTAATACTTCCTCTGTTTTTTTAGTTTGCATATAAGATTTAGTCAAAGTCAAACTATGTAAAATTTGACTAACTTTATAGGAGAAAATATCAATATTCATACTATGAAATCAATATTATTATATGCATCATGAAATTAATTTTCATAATATATAACTTTAGTTTTATAGATGTTGATATTTTTTGCTAAAAAGTTGGTCAAACTTTACAACGCTTAACTTTGACCAAACTTATATGCAGACTAAAAAACGGAGGGAGTACTTAAATAAAGTGGAGTGTTTACCCTTAAAAAACCCTTTACGATGCACGCCCGATGCTCGACTGTGCAGTTCCGCAAATTATATGTGGGATGTCGTAAATTGAATCAGTTTTCGTTATCTCCTAGACCGGTTGGAAGAGAAGGTTCCAAAAGTGTGTCTGCCCCATAATTTGCAGTGAAAATTGGTTAGCTGATGATCTGTTTCAGGTATCTTTGGACCAAAAGTTGCACCAATAAATCGAGCCTGCTGGATCCAGTCGGGGAGACGGGTGTGCCACACTGCACAACTACCATTCATTTATATAAGCTGTGCTCCCATTTATAAGTCCGTGGTCGTAGCGGGGTTCGCAGGAAATATGGACAGAGATCAGGCGCGCGTCTCTCTGCTTGTAGTTGGAGTGCTGCTCACCGGCACTGTGATTGCAGTGCTCGCAGCCAGTCCAGCCGCCGGCGACACCAGTGCTGAGCCTGGGCTAGCCGGCAGCATGGGCACCGCCTACAGAGTCGACGCGGCTACGGCGCCGCAGAAGCTCACACCGGTGGTGCACCGTCGCGTGCTCGCCAGCCTCGGCAACTCGGTCTTCGACCCTAACAGGCCGGCATGCACCGGGCAGTGCGGGGGCGCGGGGCAGCCGTACACCGGCCGGGGATGCGTGCGTGCGTACCAGTGCCGCGGCTAGCGCTAAGTTAGCACCGCATCTGACAAGACGCACCGACGCAAGCTCACTCGATGGCATGCCGTCAAACTTGTACGCGTCCCGAATAGTACGTGCATAAACCCCTTGGTAGTTGTTATAGTACTAGTTGATTGGCCGTAACTCGTAAGTGATTGATCCTTGTACGTGATAAATTTGTTATTGTTGCTTGGTGTAAAATGTTCTCATGTCTAATGCTAGATTATACGTTATTCCTAGCCAGCGGCGCACTTGAGTTTTCTCCAAAATGCGTGCATATATTTACACAACTTCTTAAATGAACAATATCATTACGACGTCCTAAGAATATACTAGTAGATGGTGTGCATTTGACAGCAATGCAGTTGATTTAGGAAATGGTTTATTTTCAACCGGCTGATAGCAGCGACGCGTGAGTCGCCTTGTCCTAGCGACGCGTGTCCCACATGGACCCGGCATCGCACACGGCTTATCCGCTCCTTCAAATCCCAATCTTCTTTTGCCGACGCAGGAACAACAAGCCTCCATCGGCCACTGGTCTGTCGTCACCAACGGCAGCCACCGCTGCAGGAGCCAACCAATCCTGCTGCAGGCAGCAGGCACCACCACCTGTTGCAATCGCTCCACTTGCTTCTCTTCTTTTCTTCTAGACGCAAGCACAACAGCGCTTTCCAAACCCAGTATGTGGCTCAGCTGAGGCCTCCGATTTTAGATGTTAGGCTTTGGTGCGATGTCTGTTTGGTATTAGACTCGAACTATCGGCACCCCTTCATCAAGTGAATAGAAGTAGTGACAGTTGTTGCTAAGATGGTGGGGTGACTTCAGACTACCCGATGTACTACTTTGTAAGGTTGTTGTGAATAATTAATAAAATGGTTGCATGCATCGCCCAGATGCAGAGGCCGGGGGTAATCCTCGTTTTAAAAAAAGCACAATAGCGCTGCGACCCATGATCTAGCTGCCGGCCAGGCACGTTGCAATGCGATTCTTGCCACAGCGGCGGAGCTGCAATGTGGCAAGCGGCATGCGACCCGTGGAGCCAGAGCCGTTGGCGCTGCGTTGGAGTTCCATCGGGGCTGCGATGGAGCTCGGCCGGAGTTGCAATGGAGTTTCGCCGAAGCCGACGACACTGTGTTGGAGCTCTGTCAGGGTTGCAATGGAGCTCGACCGGAGTTGCCATGAAGCGTCGCCGGAGCCGTTGGTGCCGCATTGGAGCTCCACCGGGGCTGCAACGAACCTTTGCTGAAGGTGCAATGCAACTTCGCCGGAGCGTCGATGCTGAGTCGGAGCTCCACCGGAGCTACAATGGAGCTTGCCTGACGCCATCAGTGATGCGTTGGAGCTCCGTTGCGGCTACAATGGCGTTGCATTAAAGCTGTCGTGCTCACTGCTGCCAAGGCGCTGCTGTGATCCAACGAGAACCAACGCACTAATCCAATGGCTGAATAGACCGACGATTTCTCTAAAGAAAAATCATCCGACTGATTCGTTGCAGCCTCGTTGATTTAATCGTGTTTCTGGTGTCAGCTTTAATTGCATCTATCAGGGTTCCAATTCCACTTTTTCAACCGTTTCATGTGTTTCAATTGCGTTGTCTCAACCGTGTACGTGTCTCAAGTGCACCGTTTACTAGTTAACAAACTCGTAAATGCTTGCCTTTTCTTTCCTCCTTCATAAAAAAACATCTCAGACTTCCCTCCCTCCTCTTCCCGTCCGTCAGCGCCGCTGCTGGTCCGTTTCACATCCGATGGCCTTTGGGCCATGAACGTTCGGAGGATCTCGGCCCCACACTGGCGGGAGGGACCCCGTTCTCGTTTCTGTTAGTTTTAGCATCTTGGTTGGGGCTGTGTGGCGGTGGCGATGTCCCTCAATAAGAATAGTGTCTCCCATGTTCTATCTTCGTCCCGATGGTGCGTCTAGCTTCGCTGGAGAGCATGTGCAGGTGTGTCTTCGTTGGATCTCATGGGATTCGGTCGGTGCTGGTCTCCGGTGGATCTGTTTGGATCCGGTCTTCGTTCGTCTTCGTTTGGCTATTTATAGGTTTCATCCTTCCGATCTGCAACTTTCTTCATCGGTGAAGATTATTGCTCTGGTTCGCTGGTCCTATGGGGGCTTAGCTCGATGACTTCCTGATTGTCTAGTACAACAAGGTTTACCGGCTTCAGCGAGGGAGAGGTGATGATGGCGATGGGCCTTCGGCTCGCCCTAGTGCTTGTAGTCGTCGCTAGGTGGTCCACGGATCTGATTGTAATTTTTATTACCTCGAGTGTTCTTTGTACTCTCATGATTGAAGATGAATAGATTAGAAGTTTCTTGGAAAAGAAAATTGTCAAATGTTTACCTTGAAGTCGCACCCTTACGTAATAGTATCACACACGACGTGGAATTCACAGGAAGTAGTGCAATGTGTGCAGCTATCATCTTTCATAAGCGCCTAATTTTTGTGATGATGAAAGTAGAGGGTTTATTCTATATCATTAATTAGATTGTACTGACTTGTCCAACCATCCATTAGATATAATCTATGGCTTAGATTAGGGAATCATTCAGCACTCAACTACCCCATTACACAACTGTACCAACACCAAGTTTTACATGCAACATCTATAACCTTTCGAAATTAGCATCATAGACGGTACATAGACAGATAAGCAGAAGGCGAATATTGAGCCTTCATTGATGCTGAAGGTCTTTGCAACTTTAGGCAAGTGCCTGTGGATGATTGACCGTCCATCCTTCGTCCTCTTCAGAAACACTTCAATATTGAACAATGAATGTTGTATGAATATCTTCCTCGCCTCTTGGCCATATAGGTGGTTTGAGAGGTAATCATCAGTGAACTGCTTTGGAAAGGCCTGAAAACAAGGATGTGCATAAATATTTTCTCTATATTGAAAATGGGGCAAAGGCATAAAAAAAGCAAGGTATAATAGTTAGTACCATCCTGTAGTGAACCGATGTCTTCTTCATTGTGCAGACAAAATCTTGTTGTTTCTTGTTGCTAATTTCTTCATCCTAACAATCTTTCTGAGTTTTTTGACTTGACTGATATTCATGGACAACTCATTTCCCCATATGCGAAAAGGGTCGAACAATGGGTCAAAACCTCTGACAGCAGGACCTACATGTGCAAGACCAAATTGTTAAAAACCTAAATATTAGAATGGTTCCTGCAATTGCACAATAATATGCTATTAGACAAAGGACCATGCATGTGCAAACCTCGATTGTAAGCCTCAGTGCTTCCCATTGTGTAACACCCATGATGCGGCTATATCTCCCATGTGTCGGAGCACGACTTAGAGGCATAACCGCATAGTAGGCATGTCGCAAGAGGGGTAATCTTTACACATCCCATGTACTGAATAAGAAAGGGATAAAGAGTTGGCTTACAATCGCCACTTCACACAATACATAAATATAGCATTACATCATCCAGAATACAATCAAGGTCCGACTATGGAATCAAATAAAGAAAGACAACCCCAATTGCATAGATCCCCGATCGACCCGACTGGGCTCCACTGCTGATCAACTGGCAAACGAAACAACACAATGAACATGAACTTCATCGAGCTCCCACGTGAGCTGGGTTACGTCACCTGCACAGGTATCATCGGCATCTGCAACTGTTTGGAAGTATCTGTGAGTCACGAGGACTTAGCAATCTCACACCCGCGAGATCAAGACTATTTAAGCTTATGGGTAGGAGAAGGTAGTGAGGTGGAGCTGCAGCACTAAGCATATATGGTTGCTAACATATGCAAATAAGAGCGAGAAGAGAAGCAAAGCACGGTCGTGAACTAGAAGTGATCAAGAAGTGATCTTGAAACTACTTACGTTCAAGCATAACACAAGAACCGTGTTCACTTCCCGGACTCCACCGAGAAGAGACCATCACGGCTACACACGCGGTTGATGCATTTTAATTAAGTTAAGTGTCAAGTTCTCCACAACCGCATATTAACAAATTCCCATCTGCCCATAACCGCGGGCACGTCTTTCGAAAGTTCAAAACCCTGCAGGGGTGTCCCAACTTAGCCCATCACAAGCTATCACGGTCAACGAAGGATATTCCTTCTACCAGGAAGACCCGATCAGACTCGGAATCCCGGTTACAAGACATTTCAACAATGTTAAAACAAGACCAGCAAGACCGCCCGATGCGCCGACATCCTAATAGGAGCTGCACATATCTTGTTCTCAGGGCAACACCAGATGAGCGCTCCGTACAACTAAAACCAACCCTCAAGTTTCCCCGAGGTGGCGCTGCAAAGGACTCTAGTTCGGACCAACACTTAGACAAGCACTGGCCTCGGGAGGGCTTAAAATAAAGATGACCCTTGAGAGAGCGACTCCCAAGGGAAAAGTAGGTGGTGGTGAGGAAAATGGTAAAACTAAGGTTGGGCCTTGCTGGAGGAGTTTTATTCAAGGCGAACTGTCAAGGGGTCCCCATAACACCCAACCATGTAAGGAACGCAAAATCAAGGAACATAACACCGGTATGATGGAAACTAGGGCGGCAAGAGTGGAACAAAACACCAGGCATAAGGCCAAGCCTTCCACCCTTTACCAAGTATATAGATGCATTAAATAATATAAGAGATATTTTGATATCCCAACAATAACCATGTTCCAACATGGAACAAAATTCAACTTCACCTGCAACTAGCAACGCTATAAGAAGGGCTGAGCAAAGCGGTAACATAGCCAAACAACGGTTTGCTAGGAAAGGTGGGTTAGAGGCTTGACATGACAATATGAGAGGCATGATATAGCAAGTGGTAGGTATCGCGGCATAGCAATAGAACGAGAAACTAGCAAGCAAAGATAGAAGTGATTTTGAGGGTATGGTCATCTTGTCTGAGATCCCGCAAGGAAGAAGAACGAGTCCATGAAGAAGACAAGCGGACGAAGTCGAACGAATCCTCACAAACGTGACGTTATCAGAACCAATCCGAAGAAGCAACACCGGAAAGAAGCACACAACATAGTAAACAACCATC